AAAAAAGAAAAGAAATTTATAGTGAATTGTTTTTATTTATAATTCGGCATTTATGAAGTATTCAATGAGATACTATTTTTATATTTCTGATTTGTCTTCGATAACAAATCAAAAAGAAATAAGTTCATTCGGATAATGAGCAATTCAATTTATTGGTATGACTATTATTCCGCTTTGCCTGTCATTAGTTAACATTCGTCTTTTTCTTTTTTATTCTCGACTATTGCTCTCCATTTGATTTCTTTTTATTCAATAGATTCTCTTCTAGACACTTACAATATAGAATAATGTCCTAGACTTCTGTTTGTTTCAGCCTCCGAGAAGATGAAGAACAACGAAGGCTTTGTTCGGTTGCGACCGAACAAAAACACGACCGTTCGCCTTTTCTCCTCACTATGTTCATTGCAATCGTTTTATGCTTGTACCAAACAGTAAGAATGCCACTCATCACTATACTTCATGATAAAGATGAGGATGACAACGAAAACAATTAATTTTGTTAATGTTCCGCATTTCTAATCACATTAGTAAGCGACAACAAGTAAGAGACAACTTTATGCTTTCTCCGCCTTCTTCTTTCAGTTTTTTTTTTCTTTTTTTCTGGAGGGCGAAGGAAAGACTTGTATCTATTCAATGTTGAGACCACCAACACATTAACATTAGCAACTGTTGTCAGTATATCGCATATAACAACAGCTGTGACACGAAAAATATCTATACATATATATATACATATATGTAAATATATCATTGTTCAAAATGTGTGAGTAATTTCCTGTTGTAAACGAGCAGCAAAGTTAGCCACGATATCATATTCACTGTATAGCTGTTTTGTAATTTCATATCCGGTGATAGCATGAAAAAAAAAAGAGAACATAGTCCTTGACCAGATTGTTTTTCGTATCCGATACATGAGATCTATTTGTTAGGATAAAAAAAAAGAAAATCTACTTTTTTCTCGTAGAATAACAAAATGTAGAGATAAAAATAAGATATCATCCGAATTTACATAATTGAATAGTAGACAAACTAGATTAAAAGAGTAGTTTTTCTTTTTCTTTTTCTTTTTGAGAGGAAAATGTTCATTTCCGAATGAAATATTTTTAAAAAATCTTGTTATTTTCATTATTTATTTAATCATAAAAATAATGGAAAACAAGTATTACATTTTTTTTAATGAAAAACATGATTATCAGTGTTAAAATATACGTTTTAAATCCATGGTTTTATATCAATCATTGATATACTTGAGAAATCTTATTAGAGATTGAAGAATACTTTTCATTCCAAAAACTATCGTTGATGATAGAAAATATTGAATAGAAAAATTCAAATTCTAAGTTTTTTCTCAAACATAGATCTCATGTATCGGATACGAAAAACAATCTGGTCAAGGACTATGTTCTCTTTTTTTTTTCATGCTATCACCGGATATGAAATTACAAAACAGCTATACAGTGAATATGATATCGTGGCTAACTTTGCTGCTCGTTTACAACAGGAAATTACTCACACATTTNTAGAATGTTTTATAAAACTGAATCTTTTGAGGACAAAAAAAAAAAAGTTCAAATACTGTACAAAGAACTGTTTTTTGATTTATCATAAACGTGCAGATAGATGATTTCTTTTAGAGTTAATATAGAATTATATTTATTGGAAAGGAGAGGCCATTCAGTGAATCATGTAACGTAATATCTATTTTTTAGTCTATCGTTTTACATTAATATTAATGAGGGTGTGTTGAAAATAAAATTCTATATCTTTTGATAAGAAAATAGATGATCATGTATTCATTTTCTACTTGAATATTTCCAAGGGAAAGAATGTTGCAAAAATTTATGTCACATTTAATAATGGTAATGATTGGATATCGTTTGACTTCATAATTTTTGTTATTAGTAGACTTTAATAGTATTAGGCAAAGTATAAAAGAATTATGATTTTACTCGATCGAAATTTTATTCTTTACATTATTCTAATACAATAAATCGAATGAGTGATAAATTTAGATCATCTATATGATTAGTAATGACTTAAATAGTAATGAAAATATGCAGTCACAATTCTTTGAATAGGAACTAACACCATGTACCGGAATCGTCTGTAACTATTCTTTGTCTTATAGACAATATATATATGACGTCAGGCAGCATTCGACTGTTGAGAATAGTCTTTGTTTTCATGAGATCGTCAATAATGAGTTCCATCATATTCGTAGCTTGACTAGAAGTGTTCAATAATATTATCTTTTTTTTTGCTATTCTTTATAGATATGTAATATTGTAATTCGATCATATTCTATTCTCCATGAATGATCATGTAATATCATCGACAGCTTTATCTGTCGATCATAATTTAACTTTATCATTATTCAATAATCCAACAATTTACTCGATAGAACCAATAAATAACTGTAGTGTTACATTACAATATACATTTGTTGAACACATTTTTTATCTTTATTTTATGTCACCATTATGTCTTATTGGTCTTATATTAAATGTAATTAATTTAATTGTTTTTTCTGATCGTTCATTTAAAAATTTAACATTTAAATATTTACGTCTTGTTGCATTTGTTGATTGCATAACATGTACACTTGTATTTATTTATTGTATTACAAATTATACTCGACCACGTACATTAAATGATAAATATTTTCGTATATGGTATTTAGTTAATGTCTACTTTCCATTAGCTAATATAACAGCTGCATGTAATGTTTTATTAACAATAACCGTAACTATTGAACGACTTGTTAGTGTACGTTGGCCTATGTCGAAACAACATTTATTTAGTTCAAATCGTGTCTTATTAACATTAATTATATGTTTTTTATTTCCAATAATTACTAATTCAGTTAATTTTCTTGTATATAAAGTTGGTGAATGTAATAATCTTGACGTAACAATAATAGCACGAACAAAAGCATATAAATATTTTGGTATATGTAAAGAAATTTTATTACGTTTTATTCCAATATGTATACTTATATGTTCAAATTGTCTTCTATTAGCAACCGTACATGCAGCTAATAGAAAATTTAAACCAAAAAAAAATGTTAAACAACCTTCAGTAGAAACAACTCAACCAATATCATTACAACCATTATCAAATGGTTGTGATACAAAACCAATTAATAAATATGTTTCTGAAACTCAATCACAAACTGATACACGTTCACCTATTCTACTTGATCCAACAACAAATGGAGAAGATAGAAAATTATCTGTACCAGTAACATCTAAAAATAAAATGCATATTAGAAAACAACAACAAGAAAAACAATTAACTATAATGCTTGTTTGGTTATCAACACTTTATTTATGTGGACAAATTCCAATGTTATTTGCTTATCCAAATTTTGTTTTTAAAGATACAAGTAAATCTTCATATAAATATTATGCATTAGTTGTTAACTTACTTGAATTGATAACATATTTAGCAAATTTTTTTATTTATATTAAATTTACAACACAATATCAACAAGTTTTTCGTACAAAAGTAAAACAAATGTTTTTCTGTTTCTTTAAAAATACAAACTAATAAAAGACAACTTTATATTGATATATATATTTTTTTGTTTTAATGTCTTTTTCTTTCTCTCTCTCTCTCGCTTTCTCTCTTTTGCTCTTTCTCTCTATATATTTTTCTTCAATTTGTTATAGTGTGTTATTTTAAAAGACAGAAAATATAATATATTTTAAACAAAATTAAAATTTTATTTAAATAAAAAACCAAACTAGTTAGATTTTTTAGCGAGATCTGTACATTTTAGAATCATTATGAGTACTTTCTTTCTTTCTTTTTAACCATTTCTGATTCTCGAAAATGGTAAAATCAATCAGACTGCAATTTTTATTACAGATAGAACACAAAAATAATTGGCAGTGGTTTTTTGAAAGTTTTTTTTTTTCGTAGATATCTTAAACTATATTTTCACAGACAATTTTAAGCTTACACATAAATGTTCGGTGCCAAAACCGGAGCCTTGACTTTCAGGATCTTGTAGATTCAAGTAGAAAAGTCAAATACGAAAATGGCTGTTTTTGTCTCTAGAGAGTACTTTCAAGTATCAGTGTTAAATATTTTAGCTCGATCGAACAAAGTTAGACGAAGACCAAAGCTAACCAGGACTTCCTCGAACACGTATCTCCTTATTTTTTCAATGAATATTTCAGTTTGACCGATTGTATTGTCTGCAAGGAACTAGAAACAGTCAAAACAGAGTGAAACATCCTTAAGAAAGGTCATATTGAATTGTTTATTTTCTTTTCCTTTTGTTTTGTGAAACACTGATCTAAAAGAAGCGTTGAAATATATATAGGATAGAAATTTAGACCTACGCTCCATCAGAGATTGTGATGGACATCTTGGTAATTCATTCTTTGAGGGTGCGAACAATAGCTCTATCATGTTTCACATTGTAATCTCACAATGGTAGCGTTGACAGTTTTTTTTATTTCTTTAAATTTTATGAGGTTTTGTCAAAAATAGTTAACCTCATCATACTATGCAATAATAGAAATGCATATAAAATCTATGCAAACAACATTTTCTTTTTCTATTTTCCTTTTACTATTTATTGATAGTGGAACGAACAAGAAAAAAAAAAACGAAAAACAATAAAACTTCATCTGATATCACAATCTTGTTTGTTCCATTATCAATAAGTAATAAAAGAAAAGCAATAAAAAGAAGATAATATATAATTTGATGAAGTCAACTTCGTTTGATGAAACGTGATGAAATATAAATAAATAAAACAAAAACAATAGAGAGAGAAAATAAACAGTTAAAAAAAAAACAAGAATTTTATATTTCCAGACTTGAATGTTTAGATAGGTATATTGTATTAAACTATTATCATATTTTTCTTTCTTTTTCAAATATTTACTTTCTCTATTCTTATCAGCATTAGAAAAATCTATTACATTATCAAGCACGAAAAAAAAACAGATTTCTTTTTGTGTTTGATTCACATTATCTTTTTTAGAATGGCCACTGGTAATATTGTGGCGAAATCTTGTTTTAGATGTGACAAAAGTATTCAAACTTTCACATGTAATGGATGTCATCAAACATTTTGTCTTCATCATATAGATGAACATCTTAAAGAACTTTCTCAACAAAAGCATAATATTGAACAAAAACATGATGTTCTCAAACAAGATCTACGTCAACAGACGATTAGCAAAACATTACTAGAAAAAATAGACCAATGGGAAAAGGAATCTATTGAAAAGATTCAATATGCTGCTCAAACCGCGAGAACTAATTTGCAACGATTCACTGGAAAATTAGATAATGATATGTGTGATTTGATCAATAAACTATCAGATGAATTGCGTTTAACTCGAGAAGGATCTGAGTATTCCGAAAATGATCTACACCGATGGATGAAACAAATCGAAGAACTTCAAATGAAATTTGAAAAATTATCAAAAATCGAATTGTTCCATGAGAGTTTTTCATCAGTCCATCTTATACAAATCAAAATTCCGGATGAAAGAGAAAATAATAAAATGAGCTCGAGACTTTCGGACATAGATCTTTCAGAGGGAAAACGAACAGTAGTCATTATGCCAAATGTTTTATCAGCAGATAATGACTCAACAATAAAGAGTTCACAATCAAATAGTCGACGAAAAGCATACCCAAGTGATTTATTTGGTCTTAATCAATCCACTGACAAAAGACTAGTCTCTCTATTAGAAGGTCTTATGTATTTAGATCCTATGGAAAAAAATGGGCCGATGAGTGGTCAATGTGGCCCACAGACGGATCAAATGGAACGATTTCTTTCAGATGCATTTGGTTTCAAAAATATTCCGGGAGAATTTATTGTTGACGGTGTAAAATCATTTCAATTGGACAGACCTCCGCATACTTTGAATCCAAATACAGAAATTTGTTTTCCTAAGAATATTGCAAATTCATTTACAATGACTGTAAAAGAAATCATCGATTGGCAATGCTCATATAAAGTTTATGCCGATAAAACAATCGAGGGAATGAATTTAGGATTTCTTCAACATGCTTTAAAAGGAAAAAGTCAAGATGGTGAAGAAGCTTTTCGTATGAAATATGTCGTACGCATTTCAAAATGTCCTATCTTGATGGAATTTGATGCCAAAGTTATATCTCGCAGTATGGATGAAGATTGGCCTAATCGCATTAAACTCGTTTCAGTGACAGGTATTGATTTTGCTGGTCGAAAACATGATGTAAATGATATTCTTCACTATGTGTCGAATTGGAAAGAAGTTTTCTTTATTGATCGACAATCAGATTTACCACAAATCTATAATGAGAGAGACTTTTATCGAAGATCCAATGCATCACGAGGCGTACTTCATGAAGAACGGGTTAGAAACAGTTTGGTGCGTATGACAAGACTACGATTGCGTGCATGTGATCAAGAAGATATTCAGATCGTTGTTGAAACAGGCATCGGACTTGGAGTATTTGCTGGTAGCCATATTGGAATTGATTCAAAAGTACGAGCACTCTCAGCAGAAGCTATTCGAACAGTACTCGAGCAAGATGGACCATCATACAAAAGCATTCGTGCTATCGTCTTTGCTTTACCTATACTCAATAAAAACAAATCTGAACGTCGTCCTCTCGATACTTATGATGATTTTAGGAATGAATTTTACAAAGCACAATACAATGGCCCTATACCGATACTGATTGTTGATCAAGACATGCATCGAGTAACTGTAGCTATCGCTCGACATGGTTTCACTGTTTCTGAGTTGAATCCTGCTGATTCACATGGTGTTTTTGGTGAATATTGGCAAAATCGAGGACCTGCTGTAGAAGAAAAATTAGCTTTGACAACAGTCGGTTTACTCGTACAACATCATCTCATCAACCCACACGTACTAGATATAAATAACTATAACCTGTTAGAAATAAATGAAGGACCTACCTAGGATTGGTGACTCACTGTGTCGAATGGCAACGAGAAACCTGCCACTAAACTATCATCATAACCAAGACTTGTTTTTTATTATTGAACAAATTTCTATACTATTCATTTTTTTCAAATTAGAGATTACACTGATTCAATTTTCTAATATTGAAAAATAAATTAACATAAAAACGTGCTCTTAAATGTCTAAAAACAAAGACAAAGATACAAGCGTATAAAGACTTAATCGTAGTCTAGTGGAAAATGTTGAACTTATATAAATTATTGTGTAGTTAAAGAATTCAATAGGTTTATTTCATTTGTAGCATTGATATGCTAAGAGAAAAGAATGTTTTTTTTTATGAGGAATAAAAGCAAAAAAAAACTGGAAGAACTTGAATTGATAAATTAGCTAGAATCACGTAAGTTCTAGACCTATCTTTTTGGCTCCAATGACAAGATGGGACAAGTCGGTAAGAAGATTTCATAAATTGATCAGACTATCATCGTATCGTTCGTAAAGAGTATTAATACGATTTTGTATTGCTGTGAATATGGGCATTGGGTATCTTTGTACACACACAGACCACAAAAATTCGTGTTTCAACTACAAGAGTTTTCTTTACAATCTGTGCTATTCAGAGCTGTGCAAAATATTCGAAGTACTCGTACTTGAGTAAATTCAGTAGCGCTTCTCAATATCTTTTTCACCATTTATTTCGCAACGTCATTCGATTAGCCTTTCAAGTTACATCCGTACCTCCCAGAAGAATGTTCAAGTTCTTGTTGAGCTCGTAGAGAAGTACGAATATGACTTGAAAACTTGATCGAGCAAAGTTGTGAAAGAAATCTTTGCAATATTATCGGGTGTCACCACTGGATTGATTTCAACATAGAAAAAATGAAACATTTTGAGGGCAGGAAAGTAGCCTTATGTGCTTCCGTTCTTTTAGATAGAATGTATTGTATTAAAGTAGTGCCACGTATCTATTTCTTTCCTTCATAGATGAAGTAAATAGCTAATTTCTTCCGCTCTCGATCTTATGTCAAAGTGCACTTTTTTGTGTTCGACAATTATTTTGTAACGATGTTGAACACATATTGTGAAGTAATCTTACTCGAAATTCTTCTTTTTGAGTAAGATTTTCGTAATACTCATACTTGAGAGAATTTGTGCTTATCCAGCTCTAATGCTATTCACTTGCGCATGACATATTTTAAAACTTTCATATTCTGAAAACCAGTATTTGAAACAGCGGCTTTTCTTTTTTACTAATGCTGATTTCTATAGAAATCAGTTCTTTAATGAAAATATACAGATAAGATTTCACTTATTGTAATATCTCATTTTGTACAGAACTTCGTGCTCTACAATAATGTTGAGTTGAAGAAACTGAGGACTACGCTTGTACAGACATCAATTTGAACTTTTTCATGAAATTTACTAATAATTGTCTGATTTTACAACAGAAGGACAATCTGAACATATGTGTGGAAATAACGAAAAATTCTAGTTCTAACCAATCAGTTATTTTTTCGTGACCAAAAAAATGAGTAAATATTTTGTACCAAAACTTTCTCAGTATAGAATATATTTCTTTTTTAATTTCATGTTGTTAAATTAATTATTTTAGTAATATATTTTTACTGATAAAATGCTACCTTTGCATAACATAAGAATCATATCATCGAATTCATTTTATTTCATATTTGAGTTCTTTGATATCATCAATGATAATGAAATACAATTTTATTCACCTAACTTGTTCAATTATAAAACTGAAGAGTTTTTATTTTATTTTTTTGTGTCTGATGTTTTCTTGAGACTGTTATAATATTTACAACAAGAAGAATTTTGATCGTTTTTTTAATGCTTATTTGCTCAAAAAGAAGTTCTCTGTGTATCGAATGAGAATATAAGATAAACTCGATATTTTGTGAACAGTAAGTAAAAAAAAAAAAAAGGGAAAAGAAAAAAGGAATGTGCCATATATTAACAATCAAGAAAGTCTGATGCAACGAGTAATTCAAGTACAACTTGAATATCAATTGGAAATTCAGGAATGTCAATCGATGAACTAAATAAACAAACAATATTCATTCATATTATTCAATAAATGAATACAAAAGAAAAAAAAAAATCTTACTTTGTATATTTTGCTTTATAAGCAAAGTAACGACAAACATTAATAAGTACATGAGAAGGTATATCTTTAAGATAAATTTCATTTGGTTGTGATTCCGAATATTGTCCAGGACCACTAAGCATATTTTTTATTGTTGGTGATGCACTAATAGCAAAATCTCGACGTACAACAAATTCATGTCCATCGGATGAAATCAATTTTAAATACATGGAATCAGGTCCTTCTAAACCACCATAAATATTAGGTGGTGTAGCCGATGAAGCTGTTACAGTAGCATTTTCTGTCGGCATTGTAATTGGTTTTTATCTCTATAAAACAGAAAAGAATCTATAAAAAAATGAATTTCATAAATTTTAAAATATATTTATTGATAAAAAGGTTCAATTTTTGACCAAAATTTACGAAAATGATATTTTCTTATCCAAACGGACTTATCAGGATTCTTGATTAAGCGATATAGAAAAAGGAAGTTCTCCTACTCTCTCAAAAGTTTCTGCCAAGTTTTTATGGCTTCGTAGTGATTTTAGACAAAAACCGAATTTTGAAACATCATTTGCCTTGCTATAGCAGAAAGTGAAAAATAAGTAGACAATGTCGTTTCGAGATGACTAGGTTTGGATCAAACCTCTGTGGAGGGACGGGTAGATTGTCTGTTGTGAAAAGGATCGGATTACGATCGATTTCGCTCTCCCCCCCCCCTCCTCTCTCCTGAAAAATCTGATGTAAAGAATTTTTTTCTGTCGTTCAGATAAATCCATTAAGTCACATGCTGATATGATCAAAATCAATTTGGTTCGTCGTGGACAAATCGAAATTTGAGGAATTAATCAAGATCTTTTCTTTTAATCCACTAGAAAAAAAAACAACAACATGATTTTCTTCATGTTGGAGTGGTTCTACTTGTTTCTCCTCTCAATATTGTGCGTGAAACAATGCAATATAAATTATGTTTCATTGGATCTATCTCGACTTCCAACTAACTATGGTTCTAAATATTAAGTATGTTGACACTTAACAGACCTGATTCAAAACTATTCTCTGTATAATAGGAAATCATTAAGTTGACATTCCAAAATGAATTTAGATTCTAGACCTTCAGGCTTAGCCAAAGGCAAGCATGTGTTAAACTAGACTCTTAATAATATTATTCAATGTAAAGAATTTATCGGAAATTCTCTCTTGCATTATCCAATAATTTGTATTGTTCCAAAACAAACTAACAATAAAAAAAAAGAACATCAATATATTAAATGTATGATATTTATTTGAATTGTCGAAAGAAAAAAAAGAGAGAGAGAATCTCCAGTAGACGAAAGAAAGAGAATGCGTACAGAACAGTCATGAGAGAAATACACACACACACACGCACACACTTGACAAAAAAATCTTCTGCGGTTGTACACGAAAAAAACCAAACAAAAGGATAGATAGCATTTTGTGGCAAAAAAAAAGAAGATAGAGAGAAAAGAAAAAAAACCGCACAAGTATCTATAAGGTAAATACGAACGAGAATCACTGTTCTAGTAATTAGTTTATTAATGTATATAATTTAAAATATACGAGAAAAAAAAAAAAGAGGACTAAACATAAACACAAACACACTATTCAGTCGCGAGTGAGAGAGAGAGAGTGAGTGAGTGAGTGAGAAAGAAAAAAAAAAGGAGAATTGCGAGAGAAAAGAAATTTTGCCTAAAAAACAATCAAACGCGCACAGCATCAGTAGCGACTAGATTTTATGAAATGAGATAGAAGATTTGTTTTTTTGTTTATTCATATGTTTCATTATTATGCACGCGCATATTTTTCCAAGTAATAATAATAATCTCTATTCTTGTTCTTCTTCTTCTTGATATGTATACAATAAAAAAAAAGAAAGAAAAAGAATATGAGAAAAGACAAAACGCGCGTCACCGATGTGTTCTATGCAAAAAAAGGAGAGAGAGAGAGAGAGAGAGACAGAGAAAGATAGAGACAAGAAAAATCAAATGACTAGAATTATTTTCGGGAGAAATATATGGTTCATATACATATATACGTTTATCTCAGACCAGCTGAAACGAGCAAAAAAAAAAAGAAAAAAAAAGAGAAGATTTCAACACTTTGAGTCATCGTCTAGATCAGGAAAATAAACACTTGGTTCTGTATTTCGACGTTTGATCTTAGATTTACGTTTACGAAGCATTGTTGCCTACATATTAAATTACAAATATTAAAAACAAAAAACATTAGTTTATGATTTTATTACTCTAAGTGCTGATCGTATGATAGTTATGTCACAAGGAGGTTGAAGCCATGGTTCACCATCAACTTGTACTGGAACTGGATAATCATTATTCATTCGAATATGAACCTTGAAATGAAATGTTTATTTTAAATTTGTTTTCTTTTTTTCAAAAATCTTACATGTCCACCCTGAGCAAGTCGAACACCTGAACGTATACCGGATTGAATTTGTCCAAGATGTACAATACCAGTAACACCAACAACTTCTAGCATACCATCATAATGTGTTGGTCGATTAAATTTGTCATCTTTTTCATGTCCCCATAAATTTGCTCCACTTGCCCAACTAAGAATATTCATAATAACAATACCTTCGAGTGGTGGTAAATCAACACGTCTTCCATCAACTTCAAGTACAATATCACGTGTAAAATCTTTTAAACCACCTTTTTTCATCATTTTTCTTATACCAGTTTTAAGATAATAACCTTTTGCTTGTATTCTATAAAGAGAAAAAAAAAGGAGAATTACATAAAATAAATTCGTAAGTTAATTTCTAAAAACAGATATAGACCGGCTATTAAATTTATTTGGATTTTCTTCTCGTGCCATATGAAAATCCAAACATATATCAGCATCAAGGCCAAGACCAAAATAATTATTCATAACAAACATTTCTGTTTTATCTTCACTTGTTGAACCTTCTTGTGAAACAATCTGGAAAAAAAAATTTAATAAAATATTTATCTCAATGATTTACAACATATCGAATAGATAATCAAAAGATAAATTAGTTTTTTTTTTTAGGTATACTATCGTAAATAAAAGTATCACTTTGAATTCTATATATAAAGTAAACCTCAGTGAGGTATGAAAAACTTCAGAAGAGGTGTCGAAAATTCTTTATACTTTTCTCAATATTGACTCTCTTGGACCAGATCTAGACGCAGTATGTGTGACACATATCAAATGACTGAATTTTAATCCATAGATAAGTTCATTTGTGACTCACAAGTAGATCGAATTCACGAACGATTTATCATTTGAAAATTAGTTTCGTGAAATTTTTGAAATAAGAAAAAAAAAAAAATTTCAAAAATCTAGTATCTTTTTTTTCTTTGATCCTATTGGAACTCAGTCGATCGGCATACGTTTCTCGTTTCTTTTTTTTGTTTTTATAAAGTACATTACAAGAAATTAATCTATTTTTAAGTATTATCTTTAATTTATATTTTCTATTATACGAATAAAACTTAAATAAACATACCGATAATGCAACTGGTGAATTAAGTATTCGTATATTTTTTCTATTTTCTTCAGCTTTTCTTGCAGCTGATGTTGATTTACCACTATTAATTTCTGGTACTGTTGGTAAACGTTTGTCTTGATCTTGATGAAAAACAACCGTCCAACGATCTAATTTAACTTCTTCAGCTTCAACAATATCCCTGAGCAATGCTAATGGTTCTTCACCACCTGTATAACCGGAACCCCAACGAAGAACACGTGCTAAATCATTACCTGTACCAAGTGGTACAATACCAACAGGTGGTGATTGACATAATGCATCTTGTCCAACATTATCTAAACAACTAAGTACCCAACCAACTGTTCCATCACCTCCACATGCTAATATACGATAATGTTTAATATTTCGAAAAACATATAGACCAGGTAATGGTCCACCATTTTGTAAATCAAATACTTGATGTGGATTAAGTAAATGACGAAAATTAGTTATTAATTCGGCTCCTTGTTGTCCACCTGATTTAACATTAACAAAAACAAGTAATGGACTTATATTTGATGGTATAGCTTGTGGTTGAATATTAGGTAACATTAATACTAATAATTGTTTTTGATCATGATATGCTTGTCGTAAAATAGAAAATGCACGTGTTGCACGATCACTATCATTATAAACTAAAACCATTGCTCCATGTTCATAATAAATAACATCCATATTATCCCATTTTAAATCTTTATTTGATTTAAATATATCTTGAAATAGAATTTTTTCATATTGTTTTTCTGTACGTGGACCTGGAGGTAAATTACCAACAAATAATGAAACTGATGGTCCATGTGGATCATCTTTATGTTGTAAATAAAAACGTGTTACACGATGACTACGAACAGATTCCTAAACAGAAACAAATAAATAAAATTTATTTATTCATGAATTTTTCTTTACTTTTCTCTGTTGTCGTAAAACATGTAAAGGATATTCATTGGGTTCTAATATTCGATCTGTATAATTAACATTTGATATAAGTAATACTTCGACCAGCGAATATTTTTCAGCATTTACATTAGTTAAACCAAAATCAGATAAAGCCTTAGCAATAACTTCTGATGTTGTACTGGATGATGTTACTTTAATTACTTTAAAACAATCATGAGTTCTATGAAGAATGAAAAAAAAAAAAACAATTTTTTATTTAACAAACTAAAAAATAACTAAACATACTTAAGAATGCCAGGATAAACTCGAACATAATCAATGTCCATATCACCACGTTCTTTATATCGTATATATATATTAAGTGTACGACCACTTATTTGTTTAAGATATTTTAATGGCGTTGTTTCATCAAGCGGTTGATCACCACCAACTATGCAAACGAAAATAAAATAAAATAAAATAAACTCTTTTGTTTCTTCAATTTTTTATACCATCATCTGTCGGTACAGTAATGCAATATTTTGTGCAATCATCATTGATATGGAATGTGCGGAGTGCAGCCTCCTGAAAAAGAAAATTTTTTGTATTTTTTTTTGTATTATAAAAGCTAAATGATTAGATAGAGAAATAATATACCAGAATTTGGGTGTAACTCGCTTGTTTAGGAACGGAAATTGAACGGGGAGTACCATTACGAAATGTTGCATTACCATCGTAAACTTTGATTATTTCTAAACGAAAAACAAAAAGAAAATCAATCGAAGTGATTTAGTTGTTTAGAAGTATTTCGTTATAATTAGGATCATTTTGTTAAGTTTTCACTAGTATTAAAAAAGAAAACTACTCAAAAGTTATCATGACACAATAAACTCGAATCAAAGATAAACTCATACCATTGCGTATAATGCAGACTTCCCTAGCCCGAATCTTTTTTCATGTTATTCTAATCAAGAAATTCTCTCTATATAGGTTTACAATGTGAACTTAAAGATAAAAGAAGCACTTCGAATGGTTTTCACGTAAGTATTTTTATTCGTGTCAAATCCTTTTGAAAACCATGTAATGAGAAAATTTTCGTTAAATAATAAAATATCGATAGGAAGAAAATTTCTTTTTACCATTTGGTAAGCAAAAATGTGAGCATTATTCAATGCTAAATGCTTTTAATCTTTAAAAGTTAATCGATATTCAATATTTGTATAGGTTATACAAGGTTGGTCTGACCGAGTGGGAGGGGAAGAAGATGTCACCCACCCCTGGTCATGGAAAATTTTCATTTTTCTTTAACATAACTGGAAATATTTCTTGCGTTCTGTGACAGAGAGAGAGAGAGAGAAAGAAAAATACTCTTCCCCTCGCTCTCAAAAAAACAAGTGCAATACCTCTCTAAAGTATACTGCCTCAGGCGAGCCCTAGACTCAAAATAAACAAAAGCAGTATGAATAAATTTCTATGTATATGATAATTAAAATCGTTAAAAAAGAAACTTATTTTATTCCTATTACCTCGTTCTTCTTCTTCATCTTGTTGACTTTTATTTGGTATTTTATCTCGTCTTGGTTTACTAGATGATGTACTTTCTATTTGTATACTTGAAGTTGAAAATGTTTCTCCACATCCTCGAATATGAGATTCTTTTTCAATATAAATAGGTCCTGTTTCAGGATCACCACCTGACGGATGCTCTGTTGATGAACTTCTTACTACAATAAACACAAAAAAATTATTTTAATTATTATATTCATTAATTGTTTGTTTTTTTTCTCTTTATATATAAAAGGATAGATAGATTAGGAATAAATTCTAGATCCATGCAGGTATTTAAATAAATCATAAAAAGAAGAAGAAGAAAATAAAATAAAAAGTGCTAAATATTGGAATCATCTAGATTGTTAATGGTACCCCTATGAACGGGTCGTTGTAATGTTAATTGATTTGATATAGTTGGTAAAGTTTTTTTTCTTGGTACAGTAAATGATGATTGTCGCTGTAGACGTTGAAGATCAATTGATGCTTTTGATGAATCAGGTGCTATAAGAATATATTTCGATGTGCAAGGAGAATAAACATTTATATATAGATATAAATATATATGTATAAATATTTGTGAAAAAGGGATCAAAACAACATGACAACAATCAATATAGAATAAAATAATATTTTGATATATCCTTTTTTTATTTTTAGCTACTTACTAGGTAATCCAGAATTTTTATAATCAGTTGTATTTGATGAACCAACAATAACATAATCTGATGCTTGTGGAATATAATTATTATTTGAAGTATTTTGTATTGGTTTTGACATATTATTTCCAATACCTAATATAAGATCTTTATTAAGATCAGCTATACGTGGAATTGATATAGCATATGGTGGGATAATTATATCTCTTAATGTACCAAAACCACATTCTTCTGGTACACGTGAACGACAAGTACTATGTGTCTGAATTAATATAAGAAAAATAATAATGTTAAATTTTGTTTTAATTAAATTTTAATATATATACGTACTGTTATGCCACACCATTCACATCGCATACCAGCAAGACATTCACTTGACCAACATGTTTTTCGACATATGGCACATTTTGAATTTGTTGGTAAATTTCCTTCACGCCAATGATGATGATGTCGTACGGATGTTGTTGACTAGAAAACAAAGAAATTTAAAAAAAAAAAAAAAGATTCGTAATCATAAGTAATCAATTTATTATATAATATTTAGGTTTAATTTTCAATAGTATAGTTTTGGAATAAATTTATTTAAAAATAAATTCAAAAAATGATTAATGAAAATATTTCTTTCGAAATTATCAAGTATTGGATTTATATGATGCATAAACTCTTCAATACAATAGATTGATTTCATCTACTAAAGGTAAGAATTATTGATAAAAAAAAGAAAATTTTCTTTATGTATACGAAATAGATAATACTGTCTATCAAAATTATTCAACAAAATAATAAGACCTATCCAGTTGTTAAATCACTTTTCGATCGAGACGATTTTTATTTAATGAGGTAATAGAAAAGTTTAGAATGGTTTGATTTTCCATCGAAAAACTGTGAACACGTGAAAAATCGATTTCAAACAATTCTCAATGAGATCAGCGTATAACTTTTCTAGTATCTCTTGTCCTCAGATATTCAATATTCTGTCATGTATAAAGGCAAATTTTGTTCATATATTTATATCTTCAGAAAAGCTAAAACTTAGCAACGTTTGAAGTTGATTTTTACATGACAATAGCTTTTTATTTTGAAATTCAGTTCAATTTCGATATTACTCATCGAATGAATATTCTCTTAATTGAAAATCAATCTAACAATTGAAGAGATTTTCTTGCAAGAAACAACAAACATACATTTGACTAGAACATTGTTTATTCTACTTTGTCCTTAGGGATCTGTTCATCTTTTATCTAAATAATTTTCTTCTTTCAAATTCTTTTCAGCAATTAAAATTGTGGAATATATATCCTTTCGAATGATCTTATAAATGAAATTTTCATTAAACTGTAAAATATTCGATTAATATTTTCTACTTACATTATCTCTTGTTGGTGCATAAGTTGCTGTTTCACGACAATCATTAACAGCAAAATCTTTGCAATCTTCATGTGCATAATATTCGCATACTAAAATAAAAAGAGTTGTTTTTTTTTTTTTTATTTAAATTTAAAAAACAAAACTATCAAACATATGTTAGTCATTAATTTAATTATTAGTTTAATCAATCATGTGCTTTTTTTTTTTTGTTTTACCTGAATTTTAATAGAATCCTTTTTTTGTCTGAACACAATACAATACATAACAATACAAATAGAAAATTTTTGCAGTTTTTTTTTTCTTTACCTTCACATCGTACAGCTGAAAAATCTTCAAGTCGTTTTCGGCAAATATTGCAAAATTTACGTTTAAACCGGGATATATCCGACCATATATGACACACGGGGTTCTATAAAAAATGCAAAATTTAAAAAAAAAAAAGTTCTTTTTTTTTCTCTGCTAAATACTTTTATAAGTATAGGTGCAATGCTTGAGCATGGCGATATGACATATTTTCGACAACGATCATGACAAATAAAATTGCATACTTTACGAAAAAAAAAAATGAATGAATAAAAATATTCACTGACAAGTGTTTTATTTTTTACCTTCGCAATAATATCCTTGTCCAATAAGACCCCATAACATTTCGACACAATGATGACAATATGTTGGTTTATGAAATGTTTTTTTAACAAAAAAATGTCCATAATTTTCATATGGTTGTTGATTTGTATATGTACAATCAGTATTTAAAGATAATGATGATGGTGGTTTATTCATTGTCGTTAGTGGTTCAATAGATAAATTTGTTCCATCACAAAATGCTGAATCGTCGTTATCACCGCTGATAGCTGATGGATGATACCAAGGAGATGTCGACGAACTCATCATCGATTGATCTTGGTATGTTGAAGTGCATACAGATGATGTTTTAGTAATGAGTATAGCTGAATAATTAGACTGAAAAAACGAATATTTTATTTGTTGATGATTATGGCCAGCACCGGCCATTAAAACAGACGACGTCGTCGACGCATTGTCGATCTCAAATATAAATGAATAAGAAAAAAGTTAAATAAAAAAACATAAAAATATGAAGATGAATTTTAGTTTTTTTTTTCTGTGATGTATTCGATGTGTTTATTTGTTTGTCGGAAATTTTTTCCGAATCGACATCATCAACGGCCATGATGAATCTTAAGATAATTTGAAACTCTACTCAAGATGTTCTTCGAGAGTTTTATGTTTGTTTGTCATAAGATAAAAATGAGATTTTTAAATCAAAGAAAAAGAAATAAAAATAAATTTTTAGTATTTTAATTAATATATTCAATAATTTGAACTTTTGATATTTTGTTTATAGATGTCACTGTTATAGGTTTTACAATTTCATTTTATTGCTCTTTCAAGAAACTATATATGCAATGAAATTAATCAGTAATAATAAATTAATAAATCTGAAATTTGATAGAAAAAACAAAGACTTGTTTTTTCAATAATATGTATATCATTGCATAGTTAATCAATAGATTAGATTGAATTTATTTATAATTACAAATTTCGATATTGAAAAGTTTGTTTTTCTCTAATAAATAACAAATTTAATAGAAATTATTGCGTAGTCTGAAGAAATATATTGGAGTAAGTTTTTGCTTGTCGTTTCTCGTAAATATGTATTAGGAAGCGATATCTAGTTGAGACAAAGATCTAACGAAATAAAAATGGCAATCAACTGAAAACATGTTTATCAAAGAATGAACTGTTAGAACTTTAATAACAGAGAAGCTATTTTCAATATAATGATTATCATCAGCAACAAAAAGACAATGGTAAGTTCGGGTTTTGAAGAGCCATATGATTAAAGTATGACGAATAACATTCTGACAGAAAATCGAGATAGGAACAAAAAAGTGTTACAATTTCATTTTCATTCATAATGTCTAAATAAGAAAAACTTCCTTATAACGAAGACCATCTTGATAATTCTCATTTGCTAATCAAGAGCTTTTCTATAAAACATCCAAGTTTAATCATTAGTCGACATGCCAAATATTGATCTGTATTCACAAAAAATAATAATGAATTGTGATTGAAATATCGTTTATTGATAGAAGACTCAACTATTAATTTCTATCTTGTTTGAATCAAATGAATATATAATGGATATTTTCTTGATTTATTTGAAATGACTTGAATGTAGTCGATCTCTATCTAAGATGAGAACGAAATAAGAAAATGTAAGATGGCGCTATTTTAATAAGGTGACTTCATTTGATTAAAAAGTTTTTCAATGATTAAAAATCTCGATTAATTATAAACTTTTCAAAATCATCAATAAATTCTATTCGAAATGCATAAACAGATACAGATTAGAAATGACTCATTTCTCAATGACAATATTTTGATTGGTGTAAACATTTTTTTGATATCTTATTTTTATTTATTGATTCGAATAAAATAAAGTAAAGCAAAAAAGAAAAAATGATTATTCGAAATGCTACTGTAAGTAAAATAATTTAAATGTTAACATATGAGAAAAAAAAAACAAAAAAAGAGAATTTCTTTTAGCCAGAAGATTTAATTAATATGCAACATTGTAATTTACTATGTTTGCCAGAAAATTATCAACTTAAATATTATTTCTATCATGGTTTATCATGGCCACAATTATCTTATGTTGCAGAAGATGACAATGGAAAAATTGTTGGTTATGTTTTAGCTAAAATGTAAACAAATTCTTTTTCTTTTTATTATCGAGATTGATTTTTTTTTTGTTTTAGGGAAGATGATGGTGAAGATACTATTCCTCATGGTCATATAACTTCTTTGGTAAAATTTATGAAAATGAAAATTTTGAATTTAAATGTTTCTCTTTTTTTCATTTTAGGCTGTTCGGCGAACACATCGTCGTCTTGGTTTAGCTCAAAAATTAATGGAACAAGCAAGTCGAGCAATGATAGAAAATTTCAATGCTAAATATGTTTCATTACATGTACGTGTTAGTAATCGAGCTGCTTTACATCTGTATCAAAATGCTCTTGGTTTTACGTAAGTGATTTCTTTTTATGAAGAATTGTAATATATTTTAATAATTTTCATATAGAATACATGATCGTGATCCACGTTATTATGCTGATGGTGAAGATGCGTTTTCCATGAGACGTGAACTTACATTAGCTACGAAAGTATGTCAAAGAAATAAAATAGAAATACATATTTATTTGACTTCTTTTTCTTTCTTCTAGGCATAATGACAATAGATCGATCATTGCTATTTTTAGGATGATTTTCATTTGCTTATACACCGTCTGTTTCTTTAACTAAGAAATAAAAGATTTTTTTTTTTCATTTTCAACAAATCATTATTCGTATATTATCTTTTCAATCGGCGTCAGAATATGTAAAGATATACAAGTCAAAGCTTTTGTTGATTACCTTTAGTTATAGATGAAAAAAAAGTTTTTTCTTTGTCTTTTACTTGGTAGTTAATTTTCTAGATCATTCATTTGCATAATGTTCAAATATTGAATGACCTTGAGAAGAGAAGAAAGAAAAATCTCTCAAACTGTTTGACTCAACATTTCAAATATGTAAACAGTTATTTATTATTAGATTCTTCTAAATATATGACTTGTGATGAATATCTAGATTGCTTCTATTCAATGTACATATTAGAACCATTTTTTTCCGATGATTTGATCATTGAAATCATTGTGTTGTTATTTATTGTTTTTATTTACATTGATGTCATTGAAATCATCGAAAGGAATTCTTTTATTTTTTGACGTCATTCTGTTGTTGTGCTAGTTTTCCGTTCTGTCTCGAGCATATGATGTACGTCATGTATGTATACGAACCGGAAGAATGCAGATTAGTCTTTCCGCACTATTTTTGTTATTGTGTATGGAGAAAAAAGAAAGTTCTTTCTGTCTCGTTTTATTACGCTGTCTCTTGTGTTTTTATTGTCTCTAGAATGATGCATTTATTTGTAGTGACACTGATTGATTGATTATAGCTCAAAAAAAAAACATTTTGTCGTCTGAAAACCGTAATCAGATTGTCTTGTCATTGTTTAGAAATAATAATTTTTCAATGTTGTGATAAAGAAAAAAGCCATAAATTAATACACACACTTCACTTTCAAATTAGGAAAAAAACATGTTATGATAATGAAATAATGTGCAAGAGATATTCAATTAATTAATAATCGAAGATTAACATGTTTCGATCAGGAAATATACATGAAACTTTTTGATACTGGTTGTAAAATCGAATAGTTCTGCTGAAGAAAGCAAAAGAAAAATGAAGAAATATTTTCTTTATAAAATAAGATTGTTTGCAAAACAATATGATTATTGATGCGAAAGTTTTTAGTATGATTATAAAGTAGTCTAGACTGGTGCCAGTCTCAGCTCCATCAAAAAATTGTGTTCATTTTCTAAGGTAATCAAAGTCACACAGAAGCCGCAATTGTCTTGCGTTGGAGCAAAAATATTTCTCTATAAAATATACTTGTTGAACGTTCTTTTACTTGTTTCTTTCATGAAATACATATCTGATTCTTCAATCGGCAACAGAAAGTTTCATGGTCATCTCTAATTTTGATAACAATATAATATAAGCAAATAATGTATATTATTACAATTAGTCATCATTAAACTATGTCTTTCATATAATAATGTTTTAAAATAGCTAGAACAATTATATTTTGGTTTAGATTCTCATAGATGTGATAATATTGTTTCGAATAAAATTTGATATAAAATATTTCTTTAACATTTTTCTTCAATAAGTTAATAATACAATAGATTATGTTTGAATAAATATCAATACGAAAAAACAAAACAAATCGAACTTTTCTAAATCTTATTTATAATAAAGTTATGATATTCATTATATATACATAATATATTGTTTAATGAATGAGACGTTCAATTTTTCACTTAATATATTGTTTTCAAACTAAAATGAGATACTTTTGTAGAGATACATAAGTTGTATGAGTTGATTTGAAAATATGAGTTATTGAGTAGACCGAATTCTATATCAATGATTTTTCTGTCGTATAATTGTAGTAGTTATTTTGATATTATCGAAAAAACTAATAGCTAAAACGATAATTTCTGTACATGCTACTTTGCTGCTTTCTCATTACGAGATTTTGTTGAGTTTGATAGCTGAATCCATATAAACTTTTAACAATAATTTCTGGTTTTTCGATTTCCTTTTGTATCACTTAGCTGCTTGAAATCACTTAGAAATACCTGTGATCGATGTTAGTTCGACGTGTGTGAAGAAGGAATCATTAGTAGGATATTTATGCGTTTTACCTCAATCGTATACACAAGTTGTGTGAAGTATACGGTTACTATTTGACATTCAACGTTCGTATGTATTCATGATCACTTCAAATTGTTAGCAGAAGATTATCATATTATCGTGTAAGTGGTTTTTAAAATAAAAACTATCAAGCTAACAGATATAGACTGTCACTCTTTCATTTCAATGCATAGAAAAGTCACACAATCTTCTCTTTCTAATAGATACGTACAACATAGAGCTGGCAGTTTAACTCATTTCAATACAATTTGATTCACAGATCGATTGAAATATATTGCAATTCAATTCCAATCGCTTCTTAAATCGTTGCACATTCGTTCAGTTGAACTTATAGTTTCTGAAAAATTTTTTCTCAATTGGATTCAACCAAACTCATGTGTTGAATTGAATGATATAGCTGTGATCTCGAGAAGTTCAGTGTATTATGTTGTGCTAAACAACATGTTAAGAAAATGATCACTATATACCCATAACTCATATAGATAGAAATGTGTACTACTTCATAAATGAAACACGAGCATGTGTTAGAGATGTACCCACTCTGTAGACGG